GGGATCTGGTGAATAGGTTAGCTTGTTGAAATATAGAAGGTGCCCAGTACAGGTAGTCATTCAATAGGAGGTCCCGTTCCCTGATAAACTAGAATAGAAGTGGATTAGGAGACAGCATTTCCTAAAGAAGGTGCAGGAAAGGGTTGGGGCTCCTAATGTCCGGTAGAGTGAGGAAAAACCACTTTCCTCTTTATCTCAACTCTTGTCTAAGGGGAGGATGATGGGTCCCCATAATGGTGCTGGGACTAGGTTAAACATGTGGGGGAGTGAGGGCAGCCCTTCCCCCCAGTGGTACAGCTTTTGAAGGGAAGAATGACCTGTAATGAACAAGTTATTGCCACATAGTTTCCCAAATGTTTTACAGCAGAGCATCAGTTTTATGAATGACCAGTTCTATGAACCATTTTTCCCTGACAGAAAAAACAAATCACATAAGAAAAATGATGTTGATGAAGAACATGTCAACATCCCTTCTCATTCCGTGCACCATGTTGCAGTTATGCACTGTACCTACTGTAATTTTGAGATGTTCAATTTTATGAATGCCTCAAGCCCAATTGTTTCATAAAATAGGGGTTCTATTGTACTTAGTAAAGTTGCAGCCTAGATGAACCACATTTCTGATTATCTGTCTTTCTTCCTGGGGTGTCTGGAATAATTAAATGTATGTATATTGTACTCTAAATGTTGTTAATTTTATCAACAGTATCATGCTCCAATCCTGCAAAGATTTATGCACATGCTTAATTTTAAGTACAAGTAGTCCCCTTGAACTCAGTGTGACTGCTCATATGCTTAAAGTTAAGAATGTGTGTAAGTTTTTGCAGAATCAGCGACTTACTCATATTTTCTACCTTTAGCTTATGGAACTCATTTCCTGGAGTCAGAGTATGATGCTGCAGTAGTTCAGCAGAGTCAGTCTGAACTCAATGGAGAATTAAAAAAAAAAATCTAAAACAGCCTTTGTTGTAATAATCAAGTTTAGTGGGCAAAAGTTGGTATCTAGTGCCATCCATTACAAAACATAAAAATTACAGGTATGGAAACTAAATTTCTCTTCTACGCAAACCACAAAATCTTTTGTATTTTACATGGCAAATTAGTGCTTGGCAACAAGGGTGTAAGTGTATAGCACACCTGCTTGAAAAGTGCAGTGGGCTAAGCTGCAATCTGGGACTTTCACTGTGCTTTAACAAAGTACACATGGTGAGATAGTATGCACCAAACTGGTGTGCTGTAGATTCACACCCTGGCTTGCCACACACTAATTCACCATGTAGACAAGCCCCATACTTCATCTGCCATTGTACTGCCCACTTATCAAGCTTTGGGAGGTCTTTCTAAAGTTTCCTGCAGTCATCCCTAGACTTTACTAACCTAAGTAATTTTGCATCATCAAAAATTTTTGCTATTTAACTGCTCAACCCCATTTAATTGGTGAATTTCTAGACAAAAATGACTTTAAGGTTGAGAATACGCATCAGTAAACTAGGATAATATTATTTATATATATAACATCACAATCATGTTATAATTGTACCCAAATCAAGCGATGCACAATTAGAGCACCCAAATGCGTAGTTAGGGCACCCAAGCAACTTTATCTGCCCTGTAGTGGCAGCATGCAATAACCATATTGTTTGTGGATTATGATTAAGGCATTTTAATGTTTGTAGTCCCAGATTAGATTAAACTGATTTTTAAAGAAATATTAGATTTTTTTCCTTCAATCCGGTATCACTTCAGGGCAGAGTTCAAAAGGTGTTAAGTATCCACAGTTACCAGTGAAGTCAGTGGGAACTATGGAGCCTCAGCATCTGTGAAAATCAGTCAGTGTGAAAATCAGTTATTTAGGCACCTAATATGGGGGTTGTGTTGGTGCCTAATTTATGTATCCACTTGTTAAAATATTGGCCTGTGGGTGAGTGAGAGTAGACATTTTTCAACTTGAGTTTGCCCATTGTAGTTCAAACCCCAGAACCAATTCTGATTAATGCATCTAAGGTTTTCAAGTAAGGTTAACTCTCTTGGAACTGGCATATGGTTTCCTTTGCAATTAGAATATGCCTGAGAGAGATGGTCATAAAACCTTTTTGTAAGTAAATTTCTAGATAGAAAATGTTATTTCTGCCTGGGCTCCACATCTGCCAAGTGGCCACAAAAATCTTTCATGAACCTCATTTAATTCAGATGATTGGTAGAGTCAGAGATGGAAACATTGCTAAACTGCTACTGGAGGCAGATCTGTGAAGAGAACAATCAACTCCAGTGTATTTAAACAAATAGAATCCTCCATTACAATTTTAGCATGGTGTACCATGAGGAAAGGAGTCAGTATCTTATACAAGTTCATTTTATATTCCAAAGACAGAGCCACTAGAATTATAAAGGCTAATATCTAATTGGACAACAATTTTCTCCTTGTGCACTGAGATCATTAGCACTCATCTGACACTTTCTGGTACCTTTTACTGAAGATGGTCCCTGTGGTGCTCACTGACATACCTCAGATTAAAATCAAATATACAAGTGCAGTGTGAAAGTTTATAAAGACCAGCATTAATCAAATCTGGCATTTTACCATGCTAAGGGGAAAATTGCACTCGACAAAATTAGAGTCAGCAAATGCATGGTAATACTACAGTCACTTCTCTCTAGAAGAGTGTCCTGCCAGATAGTAATGGAAAGACTCACACAAGATTTCACTGTATGGTTATATTTTAATACTATTTCCATTGAAACATTTGCATTCATTATAAGAAAGTTAATAAATACAGATGAGAAGTCAAAACATTCTTTACTGTATGTTGTTCATTGGAATCTCATAAAAGATGAGAGAAATATACTTCAGGATTTGTGGATTGTTAAAAAATTAATATCTATTCGTTTTGATAGTTGAAAGGTTTAAGAGTTTGCCTTTTCCTCCAGCTTTTCCTGATTGTACAGGAGTTGAATAAAATGTAACTTGAATAAATTATTTATATCTGCAAGAGGTGAAATAATGTACACATGGTTGTTTAGGGAAGTTGGGAAAAGGGATGATAAAATATCAGTTTCCATCTTTGTGATTGTCACTTGCACCTTAAAGAAAAAAGTTTAAGTGAACTTTCTTCCATTAGAGCTGAAGGGAGTTCCTTCAGTCTTTATGAGACTCAAGTATCTATCATCAAGAGATTACATTAGACAGAATGCCAGCTTTCAAAGCCTGCCTTGTACTTTTTGCATCTTACATAAAATAGAGGGTCATGCTTTCAAAATCAGTTTTCCCTGAGATGGAAAGAAAATGAGTAACTGTACTAATACTTATAGCTATTCCAATACACTTATGTAGGCTTCATAAGGCACACATTTCTTTAAGCAGGATATTACAAAGGAGGTTAAAAGTCTGATGTGGTAGGAGGCCAAAATAGGACACATCGCACAGTCAGACTCTACAGCTCCCCGTGTACCATGGAGAAGATATTCATTGCAAGTTTCATGGTTTACCACAAGAAAAAAGTGGAATGTAGATAGGCTTTGAAGACTAGGGCATGGCCAGTGGATCTATTCTGTTGTGGGCCAAAACCTACTGGCCCACAAAACCTGTTGTGTATGTAGTTGGTTCCATCCACTTGTAAATCCTAGACTCCATAGGCTGCTGCAGTGATGTAATTCAGATGCTCATAGGTACATTGGGGACAAGATTTCCCTAACCCTCACAGTGTCCACAAAATTACTGTAGGTTTCAGAGTAACAGCCGTGTTAGTCTGTATTCGCAAAAAGAAAAGGAGTACCTCAGATGCCTTAATACTAGCCCACATCACTAGCTCTTTCTGCCCTAATATTACATTAGAAAGAAAGAAAGAAAGAAAGAAAGAAAGAAAGAAAGAAAGAAAGAAAGAAAGATCTCTTTACACCTCCTTTCTCTGGTTCTGCCAGTGTGCATTATCTTCTCTTTGTCTTTTAGACTGTATGTTCTTTTAAGGAGGGACTGTCTTTTTTACTGTTTCATAAAGTGATCAGCATGTTGGTGGTGAACAACTTATAAACTAGCAATTATAATTGTTGGCATTTTAATAGTGAGTGTTGTGGATTCCACCAGGACTCATCCTTCACAGACTTCTATTGTCCATGGTATTGCAGGCCTGTGACAGATATAAAAGAACATCTGATTTTTGTCTATCTTTAGATATTCATCCACACAGACCAATATAGTCTCTGCACAACAGCCAGGCCTAAAAATTGACTAAAAAGATAAAGGAAATTTGAAGATTATAGATAACAGTGCTGCTTTGCTACAAGTTTTACAGTCACTGTGCCCAGAAATGAAATGTTGGGACAGGTTGAAAATTAGCAAGATCATACCAACAAATATGGTTTCTCCTAACACCACCTTGTTTCAATGAACTGGAAACCTTCTCTCTCTAAGGAAATATTAATGATCTAAAGGAACAATGGAACTAATACTCCCTGCTTTCCTTCACTAATCATGGATCCAACTTGCTGGTGGCAGGCTGTAGCTCTCCCAGCATCATCTCTGGCACCTCAAGTAAGCAACACTCAACTAGAAATGGCAGGACATTTGTCTCCTACGTTCTGCCTTAAAAGAGACAGCTAATCTACTCCAAATCCAAATTATGTAATCTATGAAGATAAAGATTGCTTACAACAGGAAATATTCCACTCCATTTCAAGGTGGAAGCAGCTACAGCCAAGGTTTGCCAAGCCGTTACTCAAAGTAGTTCAGTTGGCCAACACTCCATAGTTTCTATCATGGAGGAGAAAGGTGCCTTCTTCACTTACCCCAGTAGCCATGGCATAAGATTTCAGAAGCTTTCAGTGCTGCAAATGATAGCCAGAGCGGATCTTTGTAACAGATGGCTGTGTGACCCTCCAAGGATTATCATCAATGGGCTCATACATCTAGATAGCAATGAGGGAGGTCTGGGTACATGGCTAAATGTCTCCCTCACATAGCTTTATTCATTCATCATCTTATTTCTGTTTGATATATTATTTGGTGTGACTTTGGTTACCTGGCATAACCATCTTTTCCTCTTATATTCCCCTGTGGCCTGCATGTGTATACAACACTTGGATCCTGCATTTTTAATGCAATGGCTTTATGGATTGTGCTAACTATCATATAGGCTGGCTTCCCTTGTTTTTGTTTCTTCCTACACTGGTACATATACTGGGAAGTAACTTTTGTTGTTGCTGTTTTGAGTGATTGTCCACACTGATTCCACTCGGTGACCAGCAAGTAGTTCTCTAGAGACTCCTCTCTCTCCTCCAGCTGAAAGAATGACTTCAGGACAGCTCTATTGAATCTGGCATCTGATCTGGAAGCCTGGACCAAGGAGTAATGGAAGGTGAATGTGTGAAATGAATTCCAAGTAGCAGCTCTGCATATTGCAGATATTGGGAAATACCTAGGGAAGCTGCTGGGGGGCTTCATGCACCCTAGTGGAATGGGTCCTGACATTAGCCTGTAGGGTTCTTTTTGGCCATCTAATAGCAAGTTTTAATATAGTTGGAGACTCTCTTCGATAGCCTCTGGGTGGAAATAGATTATCCTCTATCTCTTTCTCTGAAATCATACGGTATGGGAGATGTTCTAAATTACTTTGTTCTGACCAAATAAAGGATAAAGCTCTCACCACATCTAGAGTATGCAATTTCATTTTACCTAGGTTGAAGTGAAGCTTCAGAAAAAAGATCAGAAGGTGGATTACTGCCTGAGCTGAACACCTGAAACATCGGATGACACCTAAGGATGGACCATGTCCATATGGAATATAGTCAAAGAGGACCCATCCTGAAGGCTGGTAGGAAAAGGATGGATAGTAAGACAGAAAATATCATAACGCCACTATATAAATCCATGGTACACCCACACCTTGAATACTGCATGCAGTTCTGGCTGCCCCTCTCAAAAAAGATATATTAGAATTGGAAAAGGTACAGAGAAGGGCAACAAAAATTATTAGCTATATGGAACAATTTCTATATGAGGAGAGATTAAAAAGATTGGGACTTTTCAGCTCGCAAAAGAGACAACTATGCGGGGGGTGGGGGTGGTATGATAGTAGTCTATAAAACATGAATGCTGTGGAAAAAGTAAATAGGAAATGTGGTTTACTGCTTCCCATAACACAAGAACTAGGGGTCACCCACTTAAATTAATAGAAAGGAGGTTTAAAACAAACAAAAGTAAATACTTCTTCACACAATACAAAGTCAATCTGTGGAACTTATTGCCAGGGAGTTGTGAAGGCCAAAGTATAATGGGGTTCAAAAAAGAATTACCAGTAGATAAGTTCATGAGGAAAGGTCCATCAATGGCTATTAGCCAAGATGGTCAAGGATGCAATCCCATGCTCTGGGTGTCCCTAGCCTCTGATTGCTAGAAAGTAGGAGTGGATGTCAGGGGATGGATCACTTGATAATTGACCACTTTGTTTATTCCCTCTGAAGCACCTGGCATTGACCTTTGTCAGAGGACAGGATATTGGCTAGATGGACTATTGGTCTGATACAGTATAACCATTCCTATATTCTTATGTACTTTGCTGACTCTTCTGGCCAAGGTAATGGTTCCCAGGAATGACATCTTCATGGACAGGTATTAAAGGGAGCAGGTTGCTATGAGTTTGATGGGGCAATCCCAGTAAGCCAGTTAGAACAAAATTGAGGTCCTAGGAATGGGAAGGCTCTTCACCTTGGAGAAAATGTAAGAGATGCCCTTCAGGAATTTCAGTACTGTGGAAAGAGGGAATATGGGATAACTCTGTACTGGCGGGTGATATGCACAAATGGCCACTGAGTGCACTCTAAGCAAGCTGATAGAGCCTAGATTGCTTCAGGCAGAGTAGATAATCCAGGATATTTGGGACTAAAGTGGATATGATGAAAAATGCTATTACATCACCTAGGTTGAAAATCTCTTCCATTTTGCAGCATCTCTCAGCTCAGGTGGAAGTCTTTCTGCCTTGCAATAAGATATCTCTCACCTCTGATGAACTGTGTCACTCCAGATTCTTTCTGAACAGCTGGATCCCTCATGGTTGTGCCTGTGGCCCTCATGCCTGCCTGACTCATGTAGCCAAGGGCATAATGGGTGGGATGGCTTCACCTGCCATTCAGTTACTTTGGCCATAAGAATCCCCAGGTGTTGGGTCTCTGATTAGGAGGCATAGACAGTGGGTCATGGAATCTGTGTGGACAATATATCTTGGTGGGGAGAGGCACAGAGAGTGGAACTCTGTTGCACACTTGTCTAAAGGGGATATGTGGCTCCGGTCACAACCCTAAAGAGGCTAGCACTCCTGAAAGAACTATGATCAGCTGGTCCATGCTGTGTCTGTTGAGTAGATATACTGAGCTCAGCCAACCTTGCAGAGGCCAAATGTGAAAATCTGGCATGCTGTGTCATAGGTGCACACTGCTAAGTGCCCCATGGGTTTCAGACTCATTCTCATGGGTGTTTTGGGGTTGGTGCAAAGCTGATTAATGACATCTACCATCATCTGGAATGATTGTTGAGGCAGGTGTCACCTTGCTGATTTGTAATCTAACACTGCCCTGATAAACTCTATGGCATGAGCAGGGTCAGAGTAGATTTGTTGCTGTTGACCCTGAGCGAAGAGATGAAGAACTGTGTGAATTGATTCAGTAGCTTGTTGTGGGGCTTTCCTCCAAACGAGTCAATCATCTGGACTGGGTATACTCGTATTCCCATCCTGCATGGATGGACATGCACTAAGGCTAGAACCTTTGGAAGACTCAAGGGACCATCAAGAGGCTGAAAGGTATGACTCTGAGGACACTTTGTGGGTACGTATACACAGCAAAGTAAAACCCGCAGCTGGCCCATGCCACCCTACTCAGGCTGTGGGGCTGTTTCATTGCTGTGTGGACTTGTGGGCTCAGGCTGAATCCTGAGCTCTGGGACCTTGACACCCCGCAGGGTCTTAGAGCCCAGGCTCTAGGTTGAGCCCATACGTCTACACAGCAATGAAACAGCCCCACAGCCTGAGCTGCATGAGCCCGAGTTGACCAGCACTGGCCAGTTACAGGTGTCTAGTTGCTGCGTAGACATGCCCTGTGAATGGAAATATGCAAGTACACATCTTGAAGGTTGAGAGCTGTGAACCAGTACAAAGGATCCTGAGAAGCAGTAAGGAGGCTAGGCGAAGCAAACCAAATTTGAAATGAGAGAGGGACATGTCGAGATGTCAAAGATCAAGGATGGGTCGCCAGCCCCTTTATTCATTAGAACTAGAAAGTAGCAGGAAAAGAGAAGCCCCTCCCTCTAATCTTCAAGGGTACTTTTACCACAGCTCCACATTGTATTAGGGAATTCATTTGTTCCAAAAAGGTCTCTCATAAGAGGGTTCCATGGAAAGGGACCGAAAAAGGAGGGAGGGAGTAGGTGAAGACTGAAACCACAGGGGATACCCTTTGCTTACTATCTCAAAGATCCACTAGTCTGAGGTTATCCTCAACCAAGGTTCTAGGAAAAATCAAAGGTGATTTCCAAAGAGAGGAGGAGGTGTAAAAAAAAAATGATCCACAGGATCTTGAAACTCATGTCAAAACTGGTTTTTGGAAGAAGGTCCATGCTATGGGGCAGGGAGGGAGCAGATGGTCAATATCTGTGGTACCTCAGCTTTTTTCTTGGAGGCTTAGAAGAGCACTGTTTAGGGATAGTACTGAGGCTGAAGCCTGTAGTTACAGTATGACTGTAATTTCTCTGCATTGTGGGGGTGTATAGATCCAGGGATAGAAGAGTAGCTTTGATCTCCTGGAGACTGTGGAGTGTTGGTGGTGGTGTTGAATAGCTTGATTTTCTAAAAACAGGTTTTCTATGGTTGTTTGGACCTCATGGGGAATCCCAGATGCCTGGAGCCAGGAAAAACACCTTATGGCAATAGTAGATGCCATAGTCTATGCCGCCATGTCAGAAGTGTCAAGGGCAGCCTGTAGAGAGGTCCTGGCTGTAAGCTGGCTCTCTGCCATAAATGCCTTTTATTCCTTATAGTGTTTTTTCAGTCATTTATCCATCATGCTGGATATTCTATCCCAAAATAAAAAGTCATACTCCAGGGGCAAGGCTTGGTAGTTGGCCACTCTTATTTGGCATAGACCTTATGGTTATGGCTGAAAAGAACTAGCCTCTTTGGAATCTTCTCACAAAGTCAGGTGCTGATAGAAATATTCAGAGCCTTTCTTGGGACCTGGTACTTTCTATCCCCCCTCTTTGTAGTGGGTGAAATAGAGACAGGAGTATGTTAGAACACCTTAGCAGGCTGGAGGAGACCCTCATTGATGGCCACTGCTATTTGGCCCAGTGTCACCTTCCAGAAAGAATATTAAGGTTTTTATCTAATTTCTCTGTGAGTATGCTGTGAGCATGACATTAGGAACCAAGAGTCTCGGAGCCACAGATGAAGCTGGAGTGCTTCACAACAGTGCAGTACCAAGGGCAGAATGACCCCTGTGGGACAAAGAAAGAGTCAGTCAATTTGCTCTTCAGTGCCAAGGCACTGGGAAGTGATTCAGAGCCAGCGGTCTTAGTTGTAGCCTGAGGAGAAGTCTTGAGTCTTTTACTCAGAGTTGGGGTAAGAATAAGTGCTCTGCACCTCGATTCTTAATTGGAACACCACTTTTTTCTCCCCCTTTCTGAAGGCATAGAAACTGTTGAGGAATGTGGTCTATAGGAAGAGACTGCTTGAGAGGTAGAGGAGGAAACGCAGCTGGCTGGTGTTAAGGTGAGATGAGGCTGATCCTTTCCAGGTGGGAACTGGAGCTCTGTGGTTCTTTCCAGCAGGAATAACTTTAGTTCTCTGTTCTTGACGGTTCTCTTGGAGAATGAGCAACATGGAGAGCAGCACTCTGTTATGTGTCCCACTCCTAGGCAGATGAGACATTGGGAGTGGCCATCATTAATGGGCATGGCACAATCAAATGAGCCGTTCTTAAAGCTGGATCGAGTGCACCATGCTGGAGGAGTACCCCCCTGGAGGGCAATGAGGGAGTGTCTCACTACACATACCCCTTAAAAGGTGTGTGTTTATTTTAAGCCAACAGGCAGAAAAACAGTAACTAATACTAAAAATAAAAATAAAGTAGGACCAAAGATTCCAAAACAACATGAACTAGAAGTAGCAGCTATGTCACACAGGAATATGAATACTGCTGGTGTTCCATCTTTTCCCCTGGGTGGCAAAAAGAAACTGAGTGGCAGCTGAGGCCACTCTGCCCTTTATGCCCTCTGCTTTGGTGGCTTGGAGGATTTGAGGGGTGCAGCTGCAACCACAATGGATACTGCTATTCAAAAACAATCCAATCTCATGTGCTGAGCCCCCAAGGGTGGACAATCACTCAAAGAAGAATCTACAGTCCATTAGCTTTTTCCTGCAGAATCTGTAATGTCTCAAACAAAATGTCAAGCTTCTCAAGTGCCACTTAAACCAGACTGGATGACCTGGAGTTCCATATGTTAATCATGGCTGTGACCCCAAAGTCCCAAACCATAATCTTAAATTTCTTAGTAAATGTATTGTTATCCCCAGAATCAGTTTACTCTTCATGAGAACAGATTACTTAAAGATAAACCATCCACTGGAGAAAAAGAAATAGTTTGTATTTTTGTGTTTAAATTAAACACAGATCAATGAGCGAGTCAAACTCCTATGCAGTGAGAGAGAATAACCAAGGACTAACATAGGTAGCCTCTTTGTTCGCTTTCACTTTCTTCCTCTTTGGGTTGGGTTCCTCTTTTGTTCTCTCTGCCCTTCCTTTTTTTTTTCACTTCACTCATACTGCTCTTTTCAACCATTTATTTTGATTGAAATATATGAGAGATGATGAATAGGGCAAAGAGGGATAGACAGGACATTTTTGCCTTAATTTTCTGTGTTTGTTGCTTCCTCAAGGGGGTTCAGCAGTTGTTACTATGTTTTCTTCAGTAATCATGAATAAATAAATAAATACATAAATAATAATATTCACATCAACCTCTCTCCCTAACTACCCACTCCTAACTTAGGGAATGGCAACAAATTCTTTTTATATTAGATATATGAGCAAATAATAGGAGGAGCTAAAATAACCAACTTAATTCCGGGGTTTTATATATAGTAAAAAATGAGAGCTTGAATGATTTGCAAGTTCTTTCTAGTGGTGCTCTCTCAATAAAAGATTTAATTAGTTATTTTAGCATTCTAATATGACATGTTAACTCGTTCCAAATTGGGTATCAATTTCTTGGTTATTGAGCAAAATTTTAGCAGAAACCTTTTTTCACAAACTTTCTTATACTGCATTTAGTGAACACTATTTCTAATCTAGTCTGTCTGCGTTTTATGCTATTACCATGATATCTGAGCTAGTTGGAATCTCTATCCCATTACATTTTGGCCCAGCCCCATCTTCATTATGAGGATATGTCTGCTGTACATGCAGCTCAGTAAAATTACAGGTCTAACATACAATTTGGGGGGATAAAATAAAGCTGGGAAAAAAAGTCATATTCTTGATGTAGCAAATTAGCATATGCTGCTTCATAATTCTAAAAATTCTAAAAAATGGTCCAGAGTTTTGCTTTTTACTATTTTCATTCCTGAAAGAAAAAAATCTTGGCTAAACCTTAGTTTGAAGTCACACACAGACTTTTCCAACAATTGTATTAAATTTATTCCACAATTTGACATAAATATCCTAATCCAATTACCTACTCCATGCTTCTTTAATTTTGGATAGTGAACAGTTACTGCTCAAGATATTTGTATTGAAGCAGCTGGATTCTTATGGACAGCCATAACAGCTAGGATTATTTAAAAGCAGTGGCTTATATTTCCTGATTTTAAATTCTCTATTGAGAATGAGGCAACTGGAAATATTGCTAGTGGTTTTCTTTGCCAAGGTTACATTTTGCCTTAAGTGATACAAAAGAACACAGGCTCTATTCCTGAAATAGGTGGTCTATAAATACAACACCTTTAGTTATCCAGCTGAACTACTGAATCTTTTTACCATCAGCCTTAAATGCTGGATCATGCCCTTTTCAAAATAAATAAATAAATGTAGATTTAAAAAAAAAAAAAAAAAGATTATTTTACCTTAGATGGCAATAAGAAAATCTGTACTGATTTTTCCTGTCATCACTGCTCAAATTTAGGGAGGAAAACTGCTGGTATGCTCCTTCTCCGCCCCTCTGTGACTTGATACTCCCATCTCCCTACAATACCAAATCTCTGCCTTGTGGCCACCTCAGTGCCTGCCTACAAAACCCCTGCTGCACTCTGGTAATCCACCCATAAGGCTCTCCTCTCGTCTGATCCCCCAGCACTTTAGATGCCAGATCTTGTCTCCCCTGATGCCCTCCCCTGGCACTACAGATACCAGACTCCCTTTGGTGTAGACTTGCAGACCAGTAACCCCACTCTCAATTAGAAATAATTACCCAGAAGAAGCTCCTTATGGCGCTCTCTGCCTCGAAACAGGGAAGCAGTAGTGACTGGTGACATCTGAAAGTGCATAGACAAGACCAAACACATGGTGGAATATGCAGGAATCATTCATTTCAGAGCTCAAAGATCATCATTTCTTAGGGGAATGTTCCACCAGAGAATATTTTATGGCAGAATTGTCAGTAATAATGCTGAAAAAGCAGAAATGTTCTATACATATTTCTGTCCTATATTTGCGGAAAAGCCAGATGATGTAGTCATATCATATGATGATGATGACGACAAAATACTTTCCTTTCCAACAGTCCAGAGGATGTTAAACAGCAGCTGCTAAAGTTAGACATTTTTAAATCAGCAGGTCCAGATAACTTACATCCAGGAGTTTTAAGAGCTGGCCAAGGAGCAATAATGTTGATTTTCAATAAGTCTTGGATCACAGAAGACTGGAAGAAAGCTAATGTTTTGCCAATATTTAAATTAAAAGGTAAATAGGATTACCCAGGTAATTGTAGGCCTATCAGCCTAACATCAATCCTAGATAAATGGAATGGCTAATACAGGACTCAAATAATGAATTAAAAGAAGGAAACATAATAAATGCCAATCAACATGGATTTACTGGAAAACAGGCCTCATCAACATAACTCTTTTTTAAAAAAATGAGATGAGCTGTTTGGTTGATAAAGGTAATAGTATTGATGTAATATACTTAGATTTCTGTAAAGTCTTTGACTTGGTACCACATGACATTTTGATTAAGAAACAGGAAAGATACAAAACCAACATTCCACACATTACATGGATTAAAAACTGGCTAAGAGGTCTCAAAATGTAATTGTAAATGGGAAATCATCATTAAGCAGCTGTGTTTCAAATGGGGTCCTGCAGAGGTCAGTTCTTAGCCCTATGCTATTTTATATTTTTATCAATGACTTGGAAGAAAACATAAAATCATCTCTGTTAAAATTTGCAGATGACAAAAATTGGGGGAGTGGTAAATAATAAAGGGGGCAGGTCATTGGATAGCTTGCTAGCAATTTTGGCCTATCTGTCAATGCACCACTTCAAAGAATCAGAGGGGTAGCTGTGTTAGTCTGTATCCTCAAAAACAATGAGGAATCTGGTGGCTCCTTAAAGATTAACAAATTTATTTGGGCATAAGCTTTTGTGAGTAAAAAACCCCACTTCTTCAGATGCATTTAAAGAATGTATCTGCCACTTTGGACTCCAGTCTCCTCAGCAGGCCTGTCCACTGCTAGGAGTTTAAAGGCAGTTTAAGAGATTTTGTGCACCTGGGTTTGGAGGACTGATAATAGATCCAGCACATGATCTTATCAAGAGCTTGAAGGAGGAGAGATCTAAAGTAAACAAAAGACAAATGGAGGAAAAACCCAACAGATGAGGGATCTGCACTTCTTTGAGCAGACCAATTTACAGGTAAGGACAAAACTGCCTTGGCTTCAGATGGATTGCATCCTCCAGTCCTGATCCCACACTGCTGGAAGCCAACAAAATCGTAGCTCCTCAAGAAAGGAAGGCTGGGAAAAAGAAAGTGAAATCAACTAGGAGAAACCTGCTAGCTATTTCGCCAAGGTGCCGCTGAGTCCAGTGACAGCAGCTATTTTTTCCCTATTATCTCTATTTTTTCCCTTATACAGCTTTTACCAGATTGGATCCCCTGGTGTAAGCTTTAGGCAGCATTCTAACAATTGAATAAGAAAGCTCTTAGATCTGGCATCTTTAAACTTCACATTCTTTAAGCAGAACCACTTAGGATGAATATTTACCACTAACGTGGACATTTTGCTCTGTCAACCCATAAGAAGGTGAACTGGTCTTACTCTGGTGACTACTGAGGTGGTTACCCTCAGCAGAGCTAGTACATATTTTTTCTTTTAGTTATGTTCTTCTTGTCATTCTGCCTCACACCGTGCCACCACATCAACATTTAGGCTCACCACCAGGATTTTGTAAGTTCCTGACATCTCACATTCAATGTCACCCCACAAGAACTGTGGTACTAACCACAGTATGATTGCCATATGTAATGAGACTTTCACCTTCAGAGTCCCCTTCTCCTTCAAAAGAAATCACAGGTAGGAAGGATGAGACACCCCTCATAAATATATGGGTCAACCATGTCATATAAACCCTGACAGAGTCCGTAGTTGTCCATCAGCAATAATGACACTTTAAAATCAGTTTTATTAATGAGGCTGGGAGGCCATTTCAAATGGCACCCATCTGTGTTTTGATATCTTAAAATTCTGGAGAATCTGGGTAATCAACAGAACTCC